GGGTATTTCAGTCCAGTCCATATTTCAGTCCATATAATGAACTCAGGTGGAGGAGTGGGAAGCAAAAATTGGCATAACTTGTGGTAGAAAGGCCAGTAGAAATGTACAGCATAAGGGCAGATGGTTGAGATGACTTTGAAGGCTGAGGGTGTCAATGAAATGATGCTTGATGAAATAACAGTTGTCAGTGGTGTGGTAAATGCTGTTGAAGCAGCATATAGGCATGTCAAAGTGGATAGGCAAAGCCAGAACAACAGAATAACACATGGAGAACTCTGGAACAGTGATCTAGTGCCAAAGGTCGGGAATGCCACCAGAGTCAAGTGTGTTCACTAGAGAAGCTGCTTTGACAGGTTTAGAAAGGCCACATCCATAGGTTACCTCAGATGTGCTGAAATGAGTCAGCCAAGGGATAAAAAGTGGGTATGGCCAGAGGAGAGTCAATGTGGGCAGCAGAGAAAGAAAAGGATGAGGAATATGTCCAAGGCCAATGGATAAATGGATTAAACAGTTACTTGGGAAGGCAAATGCCACCAGTGCACACATTCCCCTTCCTCCCTCTCATCCCACTTCATATACTGCACGAGATGTCCTGTGGTGTGGAATATTCCTCTGACCCAGCTGTGTTTCCTTCCACTTTCCTTGCCAGTGGGACACTGTGAGGAGCAGAAAAGGCCTTGGCTCTGTGCAAGAACAGCTCAGCAATAAAACCCCCTAATGTTTACATGGACATTCTGGTGAGAAGAAAAAGAATCAGTGTATTGTTAGGAGAGGAAATATTTTCATCTACTTCTTTATGTACTGGTAATGGTGAGGAAGAGGAGGTTTAGTCTGAGTGTTTCCAGGACACTTACTGATGTTTTACACTACAAGACACAGGAGGACATCCTGCCCTGCTTGTTCTATTAGAGATATCTTTGTTTTACACTAGAGCATGTGTTTTTGAACTTTTGGTTCAATAGCTTTGGTTAAAGGAACTTAGAGCAGCCAGGAATAATACCTATGATCTCTGTCTCCTGCTGGGAAGTGATTCTTGCTTCCCTTTGGTCCTTGCTCCTGGGGTTTGTTAATGTGTGGGCAGAGGAAAACCAGGCAGGTGCACGTTGGCCTCATGAACACAATGCAATGTCGTGACAGCCCCTGGAGCTGTTCTGAAATTTTTAAAAATTCCTAACTTTCTCTAGCTCTGATGTTACAAGGGTGTAGCATCAAAGGAGAGCAGTATTCCCAGTCTCATCTAGATTTGTCTTGAAGTGATCCTGCCATTCCTTCAGAAAAGGAAATATTTGTGTTTGGTGAAAAGCTAAGAGCAATTAGCTGGAGCTAACAAGGACTTCTGCAATTAGACTCACTCCTGAGATTCAGAACTTTCCTAGCTGGTGATTTTCCCTCTCCCCAGTTCTCTACAGCCCAGTATCTCCTCTGGGAGGGACTCGGCTAAACACAAAGGCCTAGTTAAAACTTGGTGAAACTCTAATGCCTTGGGACAACTGCACTCAGTGTCTTGGAAAGAAACTTCATTGAGAAGAGGGAATATGCAGCAAGGGATGTGAGCAAGGGCACAGGGGAAGAGCTGGAGAAACTGAAAGACAGAGGTGAACTCAAGACACTTATAATTGACTGCAGACTGACATGCTGCAGTTAGTTCCTGATCCCAATTTAAGGTCAAAATAATCTGCTCATTAATGCAAGAGTAATTGTCTTATTTCAGAGTAGATTTGCTGTGAGACCTGAGGCATCACACCCATTGTGTCCAGGGCTGATGACACAGGAGGTCAGTTCTGTGAGGATGTTGGCAAATAGGCTGTCAGAAAGGCAGGTCTGCAAGGTCATAGAACGACAGAAAATCCTGAGCTGGAAGGGACCTGTCAGGATCACCCAGTCCAGCTCCTGACCGTGCACAGGACACTCCAAAAGTCACAACATGTGTCTGAGAGCATTGTCCAGACACCTCTTGATCTCAGATGGACTTGGTCCTGAGTCTGCTTCCCTGGGCAGGCTCTTCCAGTGCCCAACCACACTCTAGGTGAAAAAGTTTTTTCTTGTTATCCAACCTAAACCTCCCCTTACTCATCTGCAGCCGTTTTTTCCAGTCCTATCACTGGTCATGAGAGTGAAGAGATCGATTCCTGCCCCTCTGCTGCCCCTTGGGAGGATGGTGAAAACTACAATGAGGTCTGAGCTCAATGTTCTCTCCTCCAGATGCCCTATGGAGCTCTACAGCTTCCAAGAAATGTCTCCATAGGAGTAGCACACATGACACACATGATCACAAATTATGTCATTGTCCAGTGGAGGGCTTCAAAGATGATGAGAATCCCTCTTATGAGGACAGGCTGAGGTAGCTGGGCCTGGTCAGCCTGGAGAAGACTGAGAGGGGATCTTACCAGCCTATAAAAGTATCTGCAGGGGGTTGTGCAGGGTATAAAAGTGTCTGCAGGAGATCTGCAGGCATCTCCCCCCACAAGAGCTTATCTGCTGTTTGTTACACGCTCAGATCACTCCAACAGGACAAGCTCTCCTGTAGAGTTATTTTGGTCCCATGGGGTTAACACTGGTCTGGCATCTCCCAGTTGCCCAAAAACATCTTACTGTTGGACTGAGATATAGAAGACAAGCTGGATTTCAGACAGACACATCACTTTATAAACTTTATAAAAGCTACACCAAGCTTTCACAAAGCAGAAATCTTCTGTTTCTATTCCATGGAAATATGTGCAGTTTCTCTGATGAGTAGGAATGCTGCTTTGTGGTGACTCCTGTGGGGTTAAGTGAAGGAATCTGTACATTATCATCATTTCTGTGCTAACTTGCATTTGATCCCTAATTTTTTCTACTTCTTTTGCTAGCTTTAGTAGAGCTACCTTGATGTAGTGCACTGTTTTATGTTATGTTGTAATCTACTACCAGTTCTTTAGGTTCATACTGTGTAGTAAGTAAATCTGATTAAGATCATTCATCTGCTATCCCTTGTTATTCAATAAATAATTAATTTCTATAAACAGACCTGACTTGATGTCATTAAAAGTTGTAGGCCATAGGGATTCCTTAAATTTAAACCATTTCTAAAATCTGAGGCTGAGGCAGGGCTGGTCTGAAGCTCCCACTCACCCTGTGGCAGCAGTCAGTGGTCAGGGTCAGACCAAGCTCTGCTCAGCAAAAGGCACCAGGCAGAAACTAATGCACAGCCAATTCCAGCTGAATATCAGGAAGATTTTCCTAGGATGTTTGAGATATTAACAGAAGACTGCCTTAGGCAGTTGAGTCAAGCCTGGAAAAGGAGATCCCAAGATATATGTGTGTGGTTTATCTTTATCCTGTGAAAGTTTGGGCACATAAATATCAATCATTTGGAGTGCAATCTGACTCCAGACCCAGGTATCTATTGGCAGGTGTCTGAATGCCCACCACAGTCAAAACTAATCAAAAGTTAATGGAATCTGGTGACCAAATCTGCTGAAATATCTAGCTGGCATCTATAGACCATAGAGACAATTTCAAATGTGGACATTTGGCTAATCTAATGACTAAGTGGAATGTTTAGCATGATTTTACACATCTAGGAGTGCTGTACCTGCCTTACAAATGCCATTCCAAAATAATGAGTGCCTCTTACAGCAGTTGTGGCTCCCAGTTGTATGTCAGAAATATCATTCCTTATTATTAGGAATCCATTCTAAAAATCACTTGATAGATGCCGAAATCATCATTCATAGAGTACATGTAGTAAGTCCAAAGTGAAATAAACTGTTCCTGAACAACAGAATTTCTAAATTTTTCTTAAAATCTCTATTTGTCCAACCTTTAAGAATGACCACTGAATCCCTGCTCCCTATCTTTGGTACAGTGAATGTAAAAATATAATTAAAACATCAATCCTACCCTCCATTACATGAAAAAAATTAAACATTTAATTTTAATAAAAATTAAAAATCCTTCAAGTCATATGGTACATTATTTTCTAATTACATCAAGAGTGATAGAAAATATGTCTCCAATATGCTTTTATATTTTAAATCAAAGATACTATTTGAAAATATGATGAATTAAATCTCTTACTGGTGGCTCACTTTCTTTTTTAATTAATGCTGAAAAATATTCTACATTTTTCTGTTTCAATAATTTTTTTGGAACAAAATAAGATGTGATTAAAAACAAACATGTCAAGCTTCTGCAATGAGCTGTACCTTATTTTTCTTTGGAATTACAAACTCACAAGAAAAAAATTCATATGACATAAAATTAAGAACACCATACTGTGTAACATAAGTAATAAAACCGTACTTTTATGATACTTATATTTACAATTATTTCTAGGAATGAAGGATTAATTTAAGGAGTAATTCATGTCCTTAACTTTCCAATATCATTTAAATTTTGAGGATTTAACAGAAAGAATTTATTAGCAGTTACAGAGCATTACAGTGGTTAGGTTCTTCACATGGTCCAACACATTTAAAACAATGAATCTAAAATTAAAGAAATATCTTCGAGGCACTGGGATGGGAATGCAATTTTGCATACCTCTTTTTTTTTATTTTTTTTTTTTTTTCCCAATAACAATCTCAGAATTAATAATAAGTCCTCATTAATTTCCTGGGCTCCACACTGTAGCCTGAATTATGTCCTCTCCTTTCCCCAGAGAAATTTACTAAACATTCTCAGGAAATAAATGCAAATGGATGAAAACTTATTCTTCTCAGTTCTTTCAGTAAAATCAGGCTCCTGTATATTACTCTTTTGTACAAAAAGTCAGAATTATGTAAAAACCACAATTTTAAAGTTTCTGAAAAATAGCAGGGAAAATAAAAATGAAAAAAAAAGTTTATTTATTTAAGAATTTCTTAAGTATGTGGAAGAAGTTTCCCTCCAAAATGTTGAGAGCTTCTAACACTCCATCTTACAGCTGAAAATCTCCACTCTTCTCCCTCTTTCCTCCTCAAAAGCTGAAGTGTATCTAGAAATTAATTTTTCTGAACAAGAATTTAGAGGGAAAAATTCATTTTTCTCCATTTTTTCTTCAGGGCTCCTTTCACCTCTTTACTCCTCAAACTATAAATGATGGGATTCAGTAAAGGAGTCACTACAGAATAAGAAAGTGAAAGGAATTTATCCACAGATGCACAATAGCTGTATTTTGGTCGCAGATACGTGGAGCCTGCAGTGCCATAAAAAAGAGTCACAACCAAGAGGTGTGAGGAGCAAGTGGAAAATGCTTTCTGCTGGCTCTCAGCTGAGGCCATGTGAAGAATTGTGTAAATTATACGAATATAGGAATAAATGATCAGTAAGAAAGGACTCAGAATAGCAAAGATAGCCACCACAATGACTTGGATTTCTCTTGGGAAGGTGTTGCCACAAAGCAAGTCCAGGAGTGGCTGAATCTCACAGAAGAAGTGGTCAATGGCAGAACCACACAAGGGTGAGCTGAATGTTATGAGGGTGTGAACTAAGCCCACAGCAGCTCCACAAATGTAAGTTCCAGCAACCAGACTTCTGCAGACCCTGCTGCTCATGATAACTGTGTAATGCAAGGGGTAGCAAATTGCAAAATAACGATCAAGGGACATGGCAGCCAAGAGAAAACATTCAGCAACTCCAAAGAAAAGGAAGAAAAACATTTGCATTGCACACCTTGTCTTGGAAATACTTACTGTTCCCACCATCAGGTTCTCAAGAATAGTTGGGGTGATGACTGACAGATAGCAGATATCCAAACAGGACAGCTGAGTGAGGAAGAAATACATCGGGGTATGAAGGGTATTATCACTGTTTATTATAAAAACTATCACTGCATTAGCCATCAAGGTGAGAACATACAGAGATAATAAAACTACAAAGAGCAAAGGGTGCAAGTGAGAGATTTCAGAAAAACCCAGGAGTCTGAATTCACTCAGTCCACTGAGGTTCCCAAGGATCATCCTTCTCTGGTACCCTGTAGAACCGTCTTTGTTTTAGTGTTCAGCAGCTGATGAAGCTGCAAACAGGCAAATCTGCAATCAAAATGCAACTGCCTGCCTGAACAGACAAAAGGATGACTAGAATTTAGAAACTACACAGATTTTTAAAAGATCTTCTGAACAGGTTATAAAAGTTTCTAAAGAAAATAAGGCGATCTTATGCGTTTATTTTTGTCTCTATTTTTGACTGATTCTTCTTTCATAGCATTGCCTTCAAAGTTTGCATATTCACTACTTCACTATGTCTTCAAATGCTCAGCTACCATTTTCACCCTGCAGAAAAAGAAAAAAAAATTATGACAGATATTTTTTTAATGGACTCCTCATTTCAAGTCCCAAAATCATCAGCAGCAACACTTAAATATAACAAAGGTAATTTCTCTGTTACCTGTTGTGGAGTGTGGTGGAAGAAGGGAAAAAAAAAACAAAAACTAAATTATGATGTCCCCGGAAAAGCTTTCAGCTGTGAGCACTCTGCAGTGAAGTACAAGAGAGGCTTTTCCACAGCTCTTAATATATGTATTTATAAAGTCTACTGAGACTGGTTAGTGCTGATTGGAGCAATAAGGAATAGTTGTTAGAGGCTGGATAAATATGATGCATATGTATGAGTTGTATGTATCACAGCCACCTCTAGTTTTATATAACTTGGAAAGCATTTCTATATAAACCCAGATATCCTACAGAAATATCAAGATCTGGTTTTAATTTGCAGTAATTACTATTACTTCATAATGCAGCCAAATTAACGACAGAGTTGCCACACAGGCTTACCATATTTATGCTTTCTCAACAAAAAGGTGAAGCAAAGATGCAGTCCACATTCATTTGGGGATAAGGGACAAAAGAATCACTCATTACCAACCTTAATTTTTAGTGTATCCTATTAAAAGATCTTTTTTATTTAGCTGTTCTTTGGTTTATTTTGTGGTTTCTTATTCGAATCCATCAGCAACCACACATCATCTCTCTCACCACAATGCCCCTTCCAATGCCAAAGAGATTGATTAAAATTTGAATTACTGGCTGATACTCACATTTCCAGTGTTAAGACACCTCATTCAGTCTGATCCTTTTTCCTCTGGCTGTAGGAGTGTATTTGCCCACTTCTATCCTTAGGGAAAATGAAAAGAAAGGAGGACTGTAAACTCTGCATCACAGTCATCTCTTGAGAACAGCAAAAAGTGATTTTGTAGGGAAGAACCACCTAATGTGATGTAGGTGTCTTCTGTATGGTAAGTGACAGCTTGGAAGTGCAGTATCTTTGTTTAATTAAACAGAAACATAATAAAGACAGAACTTGTTATCCACAGAGGAAAACCTCTGAGAAATCTGAAGGACCTATCTGAGATGGCATGATGTGTTCTCCCATGGCAGGCCTTTCCTGTACCATTAATTAGAAAATAATAAAACCAGGGTTAGATATGAGTTAGGCATGTGTTCTTTCCTCCTGAAAAACCTTTAAAGACATTCTCCTATGTCTCTTTGTAGTTTGTCTCCACATCAAATTTTTATCCCTTAATTCAAGCAAGATCAGGCCCAAGACCAATAAATGTCAATATGTAACAGAGTAAAATAGATATGCAAGTGCTCTGTAGGTCTTTCTTTACTATTTGCTCCAGAACCTAACAGGAGAACCAGAGAAAGAGTTTTGTTGTACCTAAACAATGAGAAAAAAATAACTGACTCCTAAAACCGCAGCAGTCAATGCCCAACAGACTCTTCTCCTCTGGGAACACAGCTAGAAATCCTTAAGATTGGTGATGTGACTTTTCCAAAAGATTCCTCCTACTGGCATATGAGCTACTTCATTTTACTTCATTCTTCTTTCTCTTCTTCCTGATGTTATTGTCCTCTGGCACTTACACAGGCAGGACTTCTCTTTCAGGGAGACTTATCAGCCTATGAAGTAAATAGATTACTGAAATAGAAGATCAATTCCAAACAATTTTTGTATTCTTGAAGAAAACTGCTACACCTGCAACATGTATATAACAAATGTTATTTTCTGGGGCGCAATCCACATCCCTTAGTACATTTTGTGTGGTACTGTGGAGAATATGTCAGATTATCTGTGTCAAATAATTCTTTCCTGGAATGGGCCCCATCCAGAGAATGACAACCTGAAATCAGATATTAAACTGTGGTTAAGAGTTATTCAACAAATCAAATCTCTCTATTCTCTTCGGCCCCCTCAGAGCGACATGCCCAGGCTGGAACCAGGGGCCTCTTCTGCCCCCTGAGGGGAACCTGCCCAGGCTGGTACTGGGGCCCTTCTGTCCCCTCAGGGGATCCAGCCCAGGCTGGCACTGGGGCCCCTCTTCCCCCTTAGGGGAACCTCCCCAGGCTGGCACTGGGGCCCTCCTGCCCCCTCCAGGGAACCTGCCCAGGCTGGCAATGGGTCCCCTCTGCCCCTTGAGGGGAAACTGCTCACTTTGGCACCGAGGCCCTTTGGCACCCTCTGGGGAATATGTGCAGGCTGGCACCGGGGCCCTTCAGCCCTCTCCGGGGAAATAAAGGAACACCTGCGTTCAGGGCCCTGAAGCTGCATCATCCACATGCTGATCATGGCCACAACTTGGAGGGCCCGTGTTCCTTCCCGTGGCATCATCACAGTCTGTGGTGTCCATAAAAGCAGCTGTAGCCTTCCCTGCCCCACAGTGAGGATCTGCTCCAGGCCTGCTCCTGACCTCAGAGCAACGTGCCCAGGCTGAAACCAGGGGCCTCTTCTTCCCCCTGAGGGGAACCTGCCCAGGCTGGCACTGGGGCCCCTCTTTGCCCTTAGGGGAACCTCCCCAGGCTGGCACTGGGGCCCTCCTGCCCCCTCAGGGGAACCTGCCTGTAATGAACAGGCCAGGAGACCAGCTCCTTTTAAAAAGGCCTTTATTTAACAGGACAGCCCTGGGGTGGGGGTCCGAGGGGGGCATACACACTGCCGCTGCTCCCACTGGATGCCACAGCCAAGGAGGATCTTTGCAGATTTGTCACCAGGACAGAGCTGGGCCTCCAATCCTCACAGAAGTCCCTAAAAAGACTGCTTTACCAGCTCGTAATCCAAGGGGTCAGTCCTCTCAAGTTCTTTCCGGACATGGTGACCACTTCTAACCGTGTTCAGGTGGTGTAGGAAGACAGTCCTCCTTCTTACTACATCAGGATATGTTCTCTTGGTCCTTTATTTTCCTTTTGGCTTGTTGTTGTTAGGGGTCTTTGTTTCCCGGCAGCACTCAGTCCAACCGCATTTGCGTGCAGCCTCAGGAGCCATTTTGGAGACCAGTGGTGCCACTACCCAAGGGGAAGGGGATACAATGTAAGGGAAAAGTAACCACAGGTGAAGCAGGGAGAAAGCAACCAGGGGTAAAGGCACTAAAAACTCCAACAATCAATCAATCAAATATTAACAGCAACCAACTCTTAACGTAACAACTCATAATTTCAGAATTTCATTTCCCACATTGACCAGGCTGGAACCAGGGGCCCCTTCTGCCTCCTGAAGGGAACCTGCCCAGGCTGGCATTGGGGCCCACCTGCCCCCTCAGGGGAACCTGCCCAGGCTGGAACCAGGGGCCCCTTCTACCCCCTGAGGGGAACCTGCCCAGGGGCCCCTCTGCCCCATCAGGGGAACCTGCCCAGACTGGCACTGGGGCCCCTCTGCCCCCTGAGGGGATGGAGGTCACAGCCCCACTCTGGGAACTTCTCTGCTCTCTCCTCCTCGGTCGGGTTGCTCTTGACCAGCCCAAAGCATGGGAACCTGCTTCAGGCTGCTGCTGGAGGGCCCTGGAACTGCACCATCAACAGGGGTTTGGTCACATGGCCAGGTTGGCACGGTGGCCATTCTGCCTGATCAAGGGAACCCAGCCAGGCTGGACACAAAGCCCTTCGGCGCCCTCAGAGCGACATGCCCAAGCTGGAACAAGGGGCCCCTTCTGCCTCCTGAGGGGAACCTGCCCCCTCAGGGGAACCTGCCCAGACTGGCACCGGGGCCCCTCTGCCCCCTCAGGGGAACATGCCCACACTGGCACCAGAGAGCTTCAGCCCCCTGAAGGGAACCTGCCCGGGCTGCCACCCGGGCCACTCTGCCTGATCAAGGGAACCCAGCCAGGCTGGACACAAAGCCCTTCGGCCCCCTCAGAGCGACATGCCCTGGCTGAAACCAGGGGCCCCTTCTTTCCTCCTGAGGGGAACCTGCCCAAGCTGGAACCAGGGGCCCCTCTGCCCCTGAGGGGAACCTGCCCAGGCTGGCACTGGGGCCCCTCTGCTCCCTGAGGGGAACCTACACTGCACAGAGCAGCCATGGAGGTCACAGCCCCACTCTGGGGATCTTCTCTGCTCTCTCATCCTCGGTTCGGGTTCCTCTTGACCAGCCCAAAGCATGGGAACCTGCTTCAGTCTGGTGCTGGAAGGCCCTGGAACTGCACCATCAATAGGGGTTTGGTCACATGGCCAGGTTGGCACGGCGGCCATTCTGCCCGATCAAGGGAACCCAGCCAGGCTGGACACAAAGCCCTTCGGCGCCCTCGGAGTGACATGCCCAAGCTGAAACCAGGGGCGCCTTCTTTCCCCCTGAGGGGAACCTGCCCAGGCTGAAACCAGGGGCCCCTCTGCCCCCTCAGGGGAACCTGGCCAGGCTGGAACCAGGGGCCCCTTCTACCCCCTGAGGGGAACCTGCCCAGGATGCCCCTTTGCCCCATCAGGGGAACCTGCCCAGGCTGGAACTGGGGCCCACTGGGGCCCCTCTGCCCCCTCAAGGGAACATGTCCGGGCTGACACTGGGTCCCCTGTGCCCCCTCAGGGGAACCTGCCCACTTTGGCACCGAGGCCCTTCTGCCCGCTCTGGGGAATATGTGCAGGCTGGCACCGGAGCCCTTCAACCCTCTCAGGCGAAACGCAGGAACACCTGAGTTCAGGGCCCTGAAGCTGCATTATCCTCTGGGGCTTTGTCACATCCTGGAGGATTTGTTCTCCTCCTCTTGCTCACAGAGGGCTGCCAGTCTATGCACTGCACAGAGAGGCCATGGAGGTCACAGCCCTACTCTGGGGATCTTCTCTGCTCTCTCCTCCTCGGTTTGGGTTGCTCTTGACCAGCCCAAAGCATGGGAACCTGCTTCAGGCTGGTCCTGGAGGGTCCTGGAACTGCATCGTCAACAGGGCTTTGGTCACAACAGGGAGAATTTGTTTTCTGCCTCCTCCTTTTCCTTGATGAAGTTTTGAAGCCTGTGTGCTGCACAAAGCGGCTGCGGAGGTCGTAGCCGCTCCACACGGAACTGCTTGTCTCTTTCTGCCTCAGCAGGGTTTCCTGCAAAGCATCCCCAGGTCCACAGGCCGACTCCTAGCTCCTGTTGGAAGGCCCTGAAGCTGCATCATCCACATGCTGATCATGGCCACAACTTGGAGGGCCTGTGTTCCTCCCTGTGGCGTCATCACAGTCTGTGGTGTCCATAAAAGCAGCTGTAGCCTTCCCTGCCCCACAGTGGGGATCTGCTCTGGGCCTGCTCCTGACCAGGATCTTCCCCACCCTTCTGCCTCTTAAGAGCGACATGTGCAGCCTGAAACCAGGGGCCCCTTCTGCCTCCTGAGGGGAACCTGCCCAGGCTGGCATTGGGGCCCGCCTGCCCCCTCAGGGGAACCTGGCCAGGCTGGAACCAGGGGCCCCTTCTACCCCCTGAGGGGACCTGCCCAGGGGCCCCTCTGCCCCATCAGGGGAACCTGCCCAGACTGGCACTGGGGCCCCTCTGCCCCCTGAGGGGAACCTGCACTGCACAGAGCAGCCATGGAGGTCACAGCCCCACTCTGGGAACTTCTCTGCTCTCTCATCCTCGGTCGGGTTGCTCTTGTACAGCCCAAAGCATGGGAACCTGCTTCAGGCTGCTGCTGGAGGGCCCATCAACAGGGGTTTGGTCACATGGCCAGGTTGGCACGGTGGCCATTCTGCCTGATCAAGGGAACCCAGCCAGGCTGGACACAAAGCCCTTCGGCGCCCTCAGAGCGACATGCCCAAGCTGGAACAAGGGGCCCCTTCTGCCTCCTGAGGGGAACCTGCCCCCTCAGGGGAACCTGCCCAGACTGGCACCCGAGACCTTCAACCCCCTGAAGGGAACCTGCCCAGGCTGGCACCAGGGCCCCTCTGCCCCCTCAGGGGAACATGCCCACACTGGCACCAGAGAGCTTCAGCCCCCTGAAGGGAACCTGCCTGGGCTGCCACCCGGGCCACTCTGCCTGATCAAGGGAACCCAGCCAGGCTGGACACAAAGCCTTCGGCCCCCTCAGAGCGATATGCCCAGGCTGGAACTGGGGCCCCTCTGCCCGCTCAGGGGAACCTGCCCAGACTGGCACCGAGGCCCCTCTGCCCCCTCAGGGGAACATGCCCAGGCTGGCACTGGGGCCCCTCTGCCCCCTCAGGGGAACCTACCCAGACTGGCACTGACGCCCCTCTGCCCACTCAGGGGAACCTGCCCAGGCTGGAACTGGGGCCACTCCTGCCCCCTAAGGGGAACCTGCCCAGGCTGACACCAGAGGCCTTTGACCCCCTCAGGGGAACATGCCCACACTGGCACCGGGGCCACCCTGCCTGATCAAGGGAACCCAGCCAGGCTGGACACAAAGACCTTCGACTTCCTCAGAGTGACATGCCCAGGCTGAAACCAGGGGCCTTTTCTGCCTCTTGAGGGGAACCTGCCCAGGCTGGAACTGGGGCCCCTCCTGCCCCCTAAGGGGAACCTGCCCAAGCTAGAACCAGGGGCCGCTCTGCTCCCTCAGGGGAACCTGCCCAGGCTGGAACCGGGGGCCCTTCTGCCCCCTCAGGGGAACATGCCCAGGCTGACACCAGAGGCCTTTGGCCCCCTCAGGGGAATCTGCCCAGACTGGAACCGGGGCCTTTCTGCCCCATCAGGGGAATGTGCCCGCCCAGGTTGGCACTGGGGCCGTTCGGCTCCCTGAGGGGAACCTGCCCAGACTGGAACCAGGGGCCCTTCTGCCCCCTTAGGGGAACCTGCCCAGGCTGACACTGCATCCCATATACCCCCTCATGGGAACCTGCCTACTTCGGCACCAAGGCCCTTCTGCCCCCTCTGGGGAACCTGTCCAGGCTGGCACTGGGGCCCTTCAACCATCTTTTGGGAAACGCAGGAGCATCAGGCTCTTTTGGGCAATATGGGTCTTTTGAACGCACAGCTGGAGCCTTGCTCAGAGGCGCTGCGAGAGGCCCAGCAGCACGGAGCCAGCCTGGCCAGTGCAGGGGGGCACCGAGCAGGCCACCTCTACACAACAGCGTACAGGGCCCCTCAAGAGGCCCGCCTGCCCCCTCATCAGGGGAACCTGCCCAGGCTGGCACCGCGGCCCGCCTACCCCCTGAGGGGAATCTGGCCAGGCTGGCCCTGCGGCCCACCTACTCCCTCAGGGGAACCTGCGCGGGCTGGCACCAGGGGTCCCCTCTGCCCCCTTAGGGGAACCTGTCCAGGCTGGCACCGGGGCCCTTCAGCCCTCTCGGGGGAAACGCAGGAGCATCAGGCTCTTTTGGGGAATTGGGGCTGTTTTGAAGGCTTGCCT